AACTGGAATGATCTGTCAGATGCTTTACTTCCCAAACCAGGAAGAGAACCTATCACTTGGGAAACCATGGACTGTCTCTCGAACTTTTCTAACGACTTTCTTCTTCTTTCTGCCAACAAATTTGGAAATCTGTCATTATTATTTTATTCTGTACTCTTTGGCAGTGCCAGGGATGAAAAACCCAGGGCCGCACGCGTTGTGCATGGCAAATGCTCTACCACAGAGCTGCATCCCTGGCCCTAAGTTCTGAATAATAATTTGGCATTAGGTTTCTTGGTTCACAGCAGGTCTATGTAGAGTCTGATTTACTCTAGTTCTATTTTTTGCTCCACTTCTCAGTTTCGAGTTACAGTGTCACTGTAAAGAAAAGTAATTAATTGGTGTTGTAGACTAATCCATATGCCACCAAAATATGATAGAATGCAAATGAAACATGTCTCCATATGCCTTTCTCACTTGTTATTCCCCTATTCTGGTTCTTCATAGACATGTTCTTCGTACACGCAGACATCGCCTCTGCTAATTTATTATGCCAATACATTCTATTTTTGTTATAATTCCTAGTTATTCCTTTTACTCTAAGTTAGAGATGTAACACTTTGAAGAGACGAGTGGTTCTGGAAAGTTTGTTATGAAAAACCATCAGCAGCACTCCACCCCTTCCTGCTCCCCACAAGCAACCACTTTCAATTCTTTTACCCAAGGTGGTTTTTTCCTCTACAGTTCTTGCTTACATGGCTACTTTCTGACTTTTCCAAACAGCATTCTACAGTGAATTTCCATAGTGGACGATGAACATGTCGGTCTGTTGATCTCACTTAGGTCTTCCTCCTCAGCAATCAGCTCCCCTCACTCCACCTTTTCCATTTTATTGTGACTTGATTACATTAGCTGATAACAGGTATACCGTAATGTCTAATTTAAGTTCTAGTCATAACAGTTACATGGGTTATCACAGTCTTTCTTTTTTTATACACTTTTTTTGGTCTATTAAACAGAAAACACAATTATTCTGTTTAATGATTTAGTTTTTATAATATCATTACCGATATCAACTCCAACTCACCCCTATTTACATATATACCTCAACTCACTCTAGAATGTGACTCTTCCAATTTCACCTTTTTTTAGGGGGAAAACTTTCTGGAACCTACCACTTGCTTCAGTATGGGCTGACTTGTGCTTTCTGCATTTGCGAAACTACTGTGCAAAGAGAAAATTTGTGTTTGTTTTTTGAGCCACACCCTGTGATGCTCCATGGTTACTCCTGGCTCTGCATTCAGGGATTACTCCTGGACAGGGGACCATGTGGGGTGCCAGAGATTGAACCCAGGTTGGCCATGTGCAAGGCAGCTGCCCTACCTATGTGCTATTTCTCCAGCTCCAGGAAATAATTTTAGGATTATCCTCCACTGTCTTTCAGAGTCCTTTTCTCTAGCTCAGTTTACACTATTTACCCTGTTCTCATGTATTCCTCATCCTTAGTATTTTATGTTATCATTGTTGTATTGTGTCTCTTTTGCAGATTATGAGAATAGGCACATGCAAATATTTTTTTTGCACCTTTAATGTCTGGAAGTAGATTTATAATATCCTCAAAACAATTAGTTTGGCTAGATGTTAAATCTAGGTTGGAAATAACTTGCTCTGGAAGCATTTCTCTACTGTTTCACTTCTAAGGCTATACTGAGCAATTTCTAACTTCTCTGATTCTTGGTCCTTTGTTGTTCCCAACAAAACTTGTAGGGTTTGTTTCTAATACAAGTTTGTAAGGAGACCTCTGTCCTCAGAATTCTCAACATCTTCCGTGATGGATTTGCTGTGCATTGATTTTCACTTGTGTGCGGCATTTCTCTGGACATTTTCAATCCGGAAACTCATAATTTCTTAAATCGCCATCTTTATGATTTCCTTCCTTTCATTTCTCCAATCTCTCAGGCAATCCTGTATATCCAGTTTGAACTTTTCAGTTTGTGCTCTAATTTTCTTACATATTTCTCTCTTGCCTTCTATTTTGGTCTTGTATTCTAAAGCTTTTGAATTCACGTGTTTCTGATTTTTCTGTTAGTGATGATTGCCTTGTACAAGCTATGACCTGAGGTCATATATACATATATACTGGTACTCTGGGGGAGGAGGTGGGGTGGGACCTAAAGATCTTTAACTCGGTATTTAAATATATTCACTATGTCTATTTTTTTTCCCTTTTTGGGTCACACCCGGCGATGTACTGGGGCTACTCCTGGCTTTGCACTCAGAAATTACTTCTGGCAGTGGGTCGGTCATGTGCAAGGCAAATGCCCTACCCACTGTGCTATCGCTCCAGCCCCCTATGTCTTTTTTTTTTATTAGTGAAACACCATGAGGTACAGTTATAGACTTATAAATTTTTGTGCTTGGGTTTTAGTTATACAATGATCAAGTACCCATCCCTCCAGTTGAGCGCTTCTCGTTCAACAGGCCTGATTGTTCTCAGATCAGGGACACTGTGTCTGCACTCTGAAGAGAACTGACCCTCAGGCTTCTGCCAGGTAAGCGAGTCTAACTGCTTCTTGAAGAGACTTCCGTGTAATCCTCTTATCTTCAGTTTCACCTTCATTCCATTTCCAGTTTCTAAGCTTCCAAACTTACTGGGTTCACCGCGCCCTTCTCAGAAAATAAATCACTCAGCACCTTGGTGGAAATTTCCCTTCTTTAAGTGAACAAACAGAAAGCATACCCGGGGCCTAACTGACCCAGGGTGCCAGGCTGGAAAACAGTGTTTGAGCGTCTTTATCTAGCGAGACTGCTTTTTGACTTTCATATTTTGCTTATTGTTTATCATCAGCGTTCAACTAAACTACCTTCCTTCCTTCCTTCCTTCCTTCCTTCCTTCCTTCCTTCCTTCCTTCCTCCCTCCCTCCCTCCCTCCCTCCCTCCCAGCCCCCTTCTTTTGTTTTTTGGGCCATTCCCAGGGGTACTCAGGACTAATACCTGGTTTGATACTCAAGTATTACTCCTGGTGGGGCTAGGGGACCATATGGTTGTTGAGAATCAAACCCCATGGCTGCAGGCAAGGCACTTGGCATTCCCAACTGGACTAATGGAGAGTCTAGCCCCTAGCATTCAACTTTCTTAGGCTGTCAGCCTTTCCAAGTTAGAAACTTTCTGTTATTTCCTTTCCTATTTTTCATTCCTTGAGAGATCCCTTTAGTTATTTATCTTTGGAGTGGAGCTTTTTATTTTTGTATTTTTTGGTTATCGGAATTAACCAGACAAATTGCTCCATCAACTAAGAACGGCCATGCACCACCACCCACGGAATTGAGAAACAGCTATCAATCTGTCAATCCTGTCCATATCCGGGCTGGGTGAGGTTTCCCATGTTGAGTCAAATTAAGCTGCAGGATCCACTCCTGGTGGTGCCCTTCCGTCAACTGCTTTATGTTGGTTGGGCTGGAGTGATAACACAGCAGGTAGGGCGTTTGCCTTGCATGTGGCTGACATGGGTTTGATTCTTCCACCAATCTCGGAGAGCCTGGCAAGATACCGAGAATATCTCGCCCGCATGGCAAAGCCTGGCAAGCTACCCACGATGTATTCGATATGCCAAAAACAGTAACAATAAGTCTCACAATTTGTTGTGAGACATTACTGGTGCCCGCTCGAACAAATAGATGAACAAAGGCAGGACAGTGATAGTGACAGTGAGTTTTTGGTTATTTAGGCCACATTCTATGGTGCTCAGAGCTTACTCCTGCCTCTGCACTTAGGTGGTGCTGGGGTGTCTGTGTGGGTGTGGGGTGTGAATGGGGGGTGCTGGGGATTGAAACCGGATTGGTGGGAGTGTGTGGCAGCGCTCTGCCTGCTGTACTATCTCTGGCCCCTGGGGTGGAATTTTAGCAAGGAGCAGAGCTTGCATTAAAGCTGTCATCTTTAAACAAAAGTTCCATTCTGCCCTTTTACACATTATAGAATCACAGCACATTCTGAAAGTTTCCCCAAGAGAGACCACGGAGTGGAGGGTCTCACCTCAAATCACACATATTCACACATATAAATACCATGCTGTTTTTCAGTCCACCTACCTGAAGTAATTTGCTTTTATGGGTTATTTTCAAGATTGGTTGAGATTTTATGGTTATTTTTTAATTTAGGGCTATTTCAGCAAGAGCTAGACCTTTTCCCCATCATTCTTTACATTTACATCTTCTCCTAAGAGGAATTTTTCAAATTAGAATATTAATTTGTGCGCACTATAAAATGTAGCCAAGTATTTTGTTTTCCTTGTGTTTGAAGTTGACTTAAATTGTTTTCAGCTTTCCAAAGCAGTGGATATGCTTTAGCTGCATGTTTGTGTGCAAAAAAACAAAGTATCACAGGGAATAGTTATAATACACCCTAATTGAAATGTAATTTGTATAACTTTAAAATGGTAAAATAATTACAATAATTATTTTTAATTTTCAAGAAATACTTAAAACGAAGGGGGGAAATGCTCAGTCCATTTTAAGTATCTTAATGTGTTATTTGGTTGATGGCTATTCAAATAAAAAAAATTGCCTAGGCACTTACAAAAAGATGTTTGTGGGGGAAAAACAGACTGGCACTTGTAATTCAATTTATTTTCAAGTGATATCCCTTCCCCCAGAATCGACCATAGACCATAGACCATAACCTAAAATATTTCTACAACAACATTAAAATATTTTGATGAACCAATTTAACTGTCTGTAAAACTTTTGATATATTTGGGGTCGGAGTGATAGCGGGTAGGGCGTTTGCTTCGCACGCAGCCGACTTGGGCTCGATCCCCGGCATCCCATATGGTCCCCCAGCACCGCCAGGAGTAATTCCTGAGTGAAGATCCAGGAGTAACCCCTGAGCATCGCTGGGTGTGACCCAAAAAGAAAAAAAGACTTTTAAGATATTTATAAAATCCAGGTACTCAGGAATCTTGGCCAAAGATGGCACACAGAGGGGAATGAAGGACAAAAAGAAAACCACTTGTAAATACTTACAGATTCTTTTCTGCCCATAGTTTTGCTCTGTGACCGGGAACGAGAGATGTTGCTGAAAAAGGAATCCTTCTTCGTAGCAGAGGAAGGCGGAGAACCAGTGAATTCTCTTCCTCCAGGCAAACTCTCAATACTTGGAGATGAACTGATGTTTTTAGAACTTTGTCCTGTAAGAAAAATCAAGTTATAATAATGCCACACCATACTACTCTTTTACGAGATACTGCTTTCAATAAAGGGTCAAATATGGTATTTCTCTTTACAGTAATGATACTACAAAATATTGAAATACATGCATTTTTTATGAAGTAGTACAACTGCTATTTGTGGTAGTTCATCAAAGTTTAATACTCATTTAAATGAATACAATTGCTATTAAAAACACAATAAAGTTGGGGGCCAGAGAGACAGAACAGCAGACAGAACATTTTCTTTATATGTGGCGCATATGTTCCCCTGAGCCACCAGGAGTGATACCTGAGTGCAGAGATAAAGTAAGCCCTAAGCATTGCTGTGTGTGACCCTCTCTGCCCCCCCAACACAAAACAAAATGAAGTAAAGCAGTGCTACAATTACTACACATAATCTGGCCTGTAATAGTTCAAGCTTTGCACACATATTGAACCCATATTTTAACTCAATTTTCAGAAACCCCAGCTAAAATGACTGGATTTTCCTCCACTAGTGGAATCACTTTTAATAATACAAAATTTTTGCGAGAATTATTCTGTATATGAATCAAATGAAAATCTAGATCCTTTATCAATTTTTCAAGAGTTTCTTCTCTTTCATTAATGTGAAACAGACAGTATATGGTGACGTTTGCCTGCAGAAGCATCAGCTAACGGGACAAAGTTCTGGCTCATCTTTCTGTCTTAGGGTCTGTCTCACCTGGGAATCCTGGACTATGTTTTTAGCTGAGAGGTTGTGAGGCTAACGCTCCCCTTAGCAGGAGCCTAGGCTAAAGGGAGAGATGTTTGTTCGGTTTTCAGAATTTGTAGCAGCCAGGTTCACACAGGTTTCACTTAATGATTCTCTCAGGAGATTGTGATGGGGATGTAAGAACTGAGCAAAACACCAAGCACAGATGCATCCATTCATTCAAACTTCAGGAACTGAAGGCCTACTAAGTGGCCAGGCACTGACATAAGAGGACAGTTGAAACAAAAACCACCTCAAGTCCCATCCTCCAGGAAGTTTTCTTTCTGTTGGCGGGAGACAAAAACCTTAGCATAACACAGATGGCAGGAAGTACTAGAGAGAAAAATAATGCAGCAAAGAGGGTAAGGGTGTCGGAGAGAGTGTTGCAGTTTAAAAACAGAATGGTCAGCGAAGGTGTTGCTGAGAATGTGAGCAAAACCTTGATGCTGAAATATCTGCTTCTGCAGACAGCAGGAAGGGACAAGTTCCAAGGCCACATAGCAGAGACCTTGTGTGTTCAAGGAAGAGTGGGGGGTGGCAAAAGTCAGAATGGGGGTGGAGTGACCTCAGAGGATCAGATCTGCTTGGGATTTGCAGACAGTTTTGATTACTTTGACTCTGAGAAGGGAAGCGGCTGAAAGTCACCAGAGGATTAGGACAGCAGGTTGACATGACTTAATTCTGAAAGGATCACTTTGGTGGTGGTGTTGAGAATAAATACAGTTAGGGATGAAGTGGGCAAAAAGAAAAAGAGGGAAATCAGGTTTTGCCACTGCAAAAAGGAAAGAAAGGAGAATGATGACAGTTTGGTGGCAAGAAGTGGTCAAGTGAAGAATCACTTGAGGCATTCACGAAAGGCTTAAAACAGTCCATTTAAAGCCCAATTATTCTACCTAAACAATACAGTGGTGATTTGAACCTGTTCGAATCCGTGAATGGAGTAAAACCCACCGAATCCACATAATTTTAATTGATGAATTTAATGGTACAGGAAGGCTGGAGCGATAGCACAGTGGGTAGGGCGTTTGCCTTGCACACGGCCAACCTGGGTTTGATTCCTCTGTCCTTCTCAGAGAGCCCAGCAAGCTACCAAGAGTATCCTGCCCGCACGGCAGAGCCTGGCAAGCTCCCCGTGGCATATTCGATATGCCAAAAACAGTAACAAGTCTCACAATGGAGAAGTTACTGGTGCCTGCTCAAACAAATCGATGAACAACGGGAGGCCAGTGCTATAGTGCAATAGTATAGGAACGGCTGCCCAATAAAGCTGCTATTTTTATTAAGGCAGTTTTCATTTTTAACTCCCAATGTGTGCGGGGCCACACTGGACACCTCCCACAGTTTCCTGCTGAGCTGGCTGGCTTCTCTGAGGTTCTCTTTGTGTTTGGATGACACTCCTGCCCCCTCTCTCCTACTGGCGTCTCCCCTTTCCCCTGCATTTTTTCCCTTTCACAGGCATTACTCCTCAGGTGCCTTGACCAGGTCTGATCCTGGACTGTGATTCTGGATCTGAAACGGGAAGGATTAATTAGTGGAGTTGGCCCGAGGTTGGCCAAAGAGAGGAGAGCAGAGGTTGAAAGTCCAGAAGGATCTTAGGCTTAGTTTAGGCTCCCCTGGATGGATGTTTACTTCTGGATGGTAGGAGACAGATGGTCACCCCGTCTAACTCTCACTCATCACCCAGGGTCTCAATTCTGAACTTTCTGGGCTACTTTTTTGTAGCAATGATCTCCACAGCAGGGGCTAACTGCTAGAATGCTTAATGGGACTGAAAAAGACCTCGAGAACCATCTCACAGTCCATTTTTTCTACTTGTAATGAACTCCTAATATAGTCACATTATCATTGTAAAAGCAGATTAAATGTGAAAATTATTTTATAAAATGGCTATTACTTCAAATACCATAAACGTTCACCTTTTAAAAGTGTGGATAATTCAGTGATTATTTTTCAGTATATTTACAGAGAGTCACAATTAGCCCTATTTTTTTAACCCAATAAAGAAAGAAATTCTGTGGCCACTGGCATATACCTTCAACTCTCAGTATTCTTCTCCCCACAATTATGGTAAACATTGAGTCTGTTTTCTTCTCCATGACTTGCCTTCTCTGGACATGATAGATGTATCATATCCCCTAGAATGAGTGATCCTTGCTCTCTGGCTGCTTTCAGCAGGCACAGTTCTTTTCAAGGTTCATTCACTCTGCAGTATGTACTTCACGGTCACGGTCATGGTCCTCCCGTTGTTCATGGATTTGCTTGAGCGGGCCCAGTAACGTTTCCATTGGAGACTTTGTTATTACTGTGTTTGGCATATCGAATACATTACGGGTAGCTTGCCAGGCTTTTCCATGCGGGGGAGATACTCTCAGTAGCTTGCCGGGCTCTCCGAGAGGGGCAGAGGAATCAAACTCGGGTTGGCCATGTTGGCTGCATGCAAGGCAAACGCCTTACCGGTGTGCTATCACTCCAGCCCAGTATGTACTTCATTCCTTTTTATTGCCAAATATCACTCCATTGTATAGCACAGCAGGTAGGGCGTTTACCTTGCATGCAACTGACCCTGTCGACCCAGGTTCAATTCCTCTGCCCCTCTCAGAGAGCCTGGCAAGCTACAGATAGTATCCCACCCACATGGCAGGGCCTGGCAAATTCCCAGTAGTGTATTTGATATGCCAAACACAGGAACAACAAGTCTCACAATGGAGATGTAACTGGGCCCGCTTGAGCAAATTGATGAGCAATGGGAGGACAGTGCTACAGATAGACAGTGCTATAGTACCTAGGTCACATCCTGTTTAACTCCCAGGACACTGTGAAGTGGCCATGTGGAGCAGCGGGGCTTGGAGAGCCTAACCTCCCAAAGTTTCAGAATTACAGACATGTCCAAAGACTTGGCCAAACTTAAAGATGATATCAACATATATCGCGACACTTCTTTTTTTCCTTTTTGGGTCACACCTGGCGATGCACAGGGGTTGCTCCTGGCTCTTCACTCAGGAATTACTCTTGGTGGTGCTCAGGGAACCATATGGGATGCTGGGAATCAAACCTGGGTTGGCCGCGTGCGAGGCAAATGCCCTACCTGCTGTGCTATCACTCCAGCCCCTATCACAACACTTCTGTGTCACAGAGGTGGACTCCAAGGAGTCAAAATATCAAACAAGAAACAAACAAACAAACCAACAAAACAGAACTTCACCAACAAACTAGGTTTGGAGAATTTCTACCCCATCTTAAGCACACGTATGTTTGGAGGTGGCTTCTTTGCAGAAACAAAACAGCTGCCCTTCAGGCCCCCGTTTCAATGGCTGGTATCAAAGGTGCGATTAGACTCAAAGGCCTAGTGTCTGAAGGACAGTGTCTAAGGCTGACTTCCATAGTGCTAGGTTCACCTGCTGGGAAAGCTGGCTCAGCGTAGGGCCTTAGGTGGGTCTGCAATAAGGATTAACCATTATTTGGCTTGGAACAACCAAGTCTCTGCAGTCACCAATGTGGTTTAGTAGAACTGTAATGTGAGCTACACCAACCAATTTGAATATTCGATGAATCATGTTCAAAAGTAAAGTGAAATTAATTTTTGACTATTTGATTGAACCCCCCAATACAAACTATTATCATTCCAAGGTAACCAAGTTTAAAAAAGATGCATTTTAAATTCACTTTCTCATACTTAGGCTTCAAAGTCCAATTCCTATTTTATATTCATGGCCAGCAGTTCAGTGACCACACTGGGTTAAGAGTCATGAGTCAGGCTGGCATAGGGATAAGCAAGAGACAGTTTAAACTTCCAAATATTCTTTGTTGCAGCATGCAGACTGGCAACAAAGACAGTAATGATGGATCTAGGAGACCTGAACCAATAAACTGCTTTGTCTGTTATTTACAAGGTGAGAAGAAGCCTACAATCCAGAAGGCTTTGAAAACAACTGTTCTGTCAAGGAGAAACAGCATCCAGTGTTGTAAGTGACTCCTCCTCCAACTTAGCAAACTTTGGTTGGTCTGTCTGGTGTTTTGGCTACAGTGAAGATTACAGGAGCTTGGCTGAACTGAGTAACACTACCCATCCAGGTAAGAGATGAAGTGACCTTTGACTACAGCTGAGGAGGAAGAGTTGAGAGATGGATCCACAGTACAACTGCTCAAGGCAGCCCAGTACCTGCTGGGTCAAACTTAGCTAGGCTTGAAGCTTAGCTACTATCAAGCCATGGGATTTGTACAAATCTTTGACCCGCATAAGCCTCTG